ATGGAACTCAGCCCTTAGCCTCTGGGATCTGTACTAACTCTGGAAGGCATCAGAATTGAATTAAATTATAGTACACACACTTGGTATTAGAAAAAGACATTAAAATATTTAACAACCAATTATCCAGAGTAGGGGTGGGAGAAAGGCGTGATTTGTAGCATCTGTCTATTTCTGTGGTATCAATATTCCCATCAGACCCAATATCAACCTACCAGCAATTAGTTGGCTCTCAGCAAGAAAGAAACCTTATTTCTGCACAGAGTATCATGAGAAGATCTCTATCCCTGGTACTGTTTCCAAAGGCCATACTAGCTAATACGTTTTTATGTTGGGCCTCTTCTGCCTTAAACTTATAGTGCAGGGCCCATTATTAAATCAATCTTAGAACTCAGGGGAAATGTGCTTTAATGAAACCCTAAGGTGTCACAGGTGGCTTACCAATTATTCACACCTGTGCTTTCCCATACTTAATGGGACCAGGAGATGAGGCAGAGATAAGGATCCCTTCAGTGAAGAATGGAGAGGGTGACCTGCTTCTACTTAGGGCCCCTTTCCTCACCCCATTGCCCAAGACTAAAGAATGCAGCACAGGAAACAACCAGTCCAGAAATGAGATCCTCCCTGTTCTCTTTGGAACTGTTATTTACTTCTTGGACTTATAGTAAAGGTAGGGGAAGCTTTGGAGAAACACTACCTCTTCTTGGACAGCCCCCTTACTACGATAGTTAAGAATGCAGATTCTAAGGCTAGACTGCTTGGGTCAGGAGCATACAGACAGCTTTACTGAGCTTTCTGAACCCCACTTTCCTCATCTGTGAGATGAAGAGTCAGCATAGTATCTTGTGAGTATTAGCCTTATTATTATTATTATTATTAACTATTATTGAAATCAAATTGCCTTCCTCCACTCCTGGTTACATTTAGCAAAACTAAGTAACTGAAGAAGAAAAACCCAAACAACTATAATCAGGAGGCCCTTAAGTCTAACACTGACTCTCCAGCTGGATGGATTCTGTGGTGTGACCTTACCAGCCCTAGCCACTAAGAAGATGGACATGACCCACCATCCCGGATGAAGGGGCAGGTATGTGGAGGCACCATTGACAGAGGCCATCTCTGCAGCCTGCAGTCTGCTGCAGCTTATGCAATGCTCCACCCAGCATCCTTTCTCCTCAAATTAGGTCCAATTTCCTTGTTCTGGCCTCCAGGGAGACAGGGAACAGCTGTCCTACCTCTATAAAATAACTCTTCCAGGTCTGGATAACTATTATTAAACATCCCCCTTCACACTTCCCTTGCTCTATTATAAGATACATTAAAGGCCCTTGCTAATGGTTTGAGGTCTTCGTGAGATGGTTGCTGTTCACCCTAATTCCTCTAATAATTAGTGGTTGTAAACCACTTTGAAGATAAAAGGCATTTTATAAAAGCTAAGTCCCATTATGATTAGCTTTCCAATACTTCTTACTGATGCTGATGAGCACATCAAAGCCAGACACAGTCACAGCATGATATCTGGTGGTTAATTAGATGTATTTCAAGGCAGCTGGTATATATTAAAGAAACTGCTGCAAAATTTATCAACATTAAGAAAGTGTCCACTTTCTTCCTAATATGAACAAGCTCTTTTCAAAGGCTGTCAGCGGTGATGCCTGCAAGACAGGAGTCCGGAGAGACCCAGTGCTAATACATGCTCTGGGCCTGGAAGAGAAAGGCCCAGTAACAGCACCTGACTTTGAACATCTTATCCTTGTTGACAAGGCATGTACCATGCCTTGCTTTGTTTTGTTTTTGCAATTGTGCTGTGATATAAGCAAGTAAAGTAACACAATCCCTGCTTTATGGATGAACAAGCTGCATAAGGTCATGGATTTTCAAGACATTGACATCAGTGTGGTGTAGCAGAACACAGTTAAGGCTCAGACCTATTATCAAGGTGACATTATTGATGTTCCTTTCAAATGCTCTCAAATATTTGTGCATCCTCCCCCTGCGTCTGTGTGGTTTTGCTTCTCATTCCCGGCACCTGCGACTCTTAGAAGGTGGACCCTTAAGCTATTGAAGCCACTTTGTCCAAAGGGACAGAGCAAGAAGTACCCAGAAGCTCCTTGACCCTTCCAAATAGCTCTTAGCCAATGACCTAATTGCCTCTCAAAAGCCCCATTTCATAATACTATCCAACTTGGAACAAAAAGCCCAGTACCCCTGTTCTCAGTGGGGACAAAGTCTGAGTTGTTTTTTTACACTCTAGAATACTTTGTAGGACAAGACAAAGGCTGGAACTTTCTGAAACTTTGCCTGAGCTCTCACTCTGTCTGACTTCTTCATCCTCCCTTACAGAGTTCTCATGGGAACTTTTCCTCCTTAAACCACCTCTCTGAGTCAATGTCTGGAAACCCATCCTAAGACAACTCTCTTGACTCCACATTAATGAGAACATTTTGGATATTTTATATGGAATATATTCTTACAGATTCCCTTAGGTACAAATCTTCCTTTCCAGCTCTCCATACACACACACACACACACACACACAAGTGTGTGTGTGTGTGTGTTTTCTGTGTCTGCCCTATGCCTTCAACTCTTAGCTCTGTAAGCAGGATGTTCCAACTGCTTCTGGAAAAATGAATTATTATACTCTGCCCAGCCACGTGAAAGGCACTGAACCAGGGAGGGCCAAGGAAGAGACATGTTTAAGACTTTCATTTCTTTGGTGAACTTACTTATCAGAGGGACATGATTAGAGCCATGTGTGCACACAATGAAAACTACAAGAGCAAATGATTCTTGGAGTGGTACCCCCAAATGAAGCCACTTTCTAATGATTCTCCATACCATTCAATTATGGCTCATTTACTTAAATGTTTGAATCTGAAGCTACTCTTGAATATTTAAGAAAATGAAGGTCAAGATAATCCAAATGAGTAGATAATTCAAAAAAAGGAGTTTTAAAATTTAAATCTAGTTTGCATTACTATTATTATTATTGTTGTTGTTGTTGTTATTAATTTTTATAGTATCACTTTAGGAAGCTGCCTAAGAAAGTTAAGAAATCTGCCCTACAAAAATAGCTAATTAGTAATAGAGTACGAATTCAATTTTAATTTGCCTGACTCTTTAAATTTTGTTTCTTTATTGGTCACATGGGGCTAATAATAAGTCTTACCTTGCAGAATCTTTGTGAGGATTAAACAAAAATAATGTGTATAGCCTACCAAAATACCTGTTACAATAAGCACTACAGAGTAATTGGCATTATTAGTCCCAAGTGGAATATCATTGATCCCCAGGATATCCCTATAATTTGGATGTGGCTTGTGCCCCAAAGGTTCATATGCTGGAAGCTTGGTCTCCAAAGCAACAGCATTGAGAGGTGGTGGGTCCTTCAAGCAGTGGGACCTAGTGGGGGGTGAAGGGATGAACACTGGCCCCTTGGGATGGTTTGGGTCTCACAGAGTAGACTAGCTGCTCCCAGAGCAGGTTTCAATAAAAAATGGAGCCTGGCCCCTCCCTCTTGTTTCCTCTCCCACCATGTGACCTCTGTGGGTCCCACATATTCGTGTCATGGGATGCTATCAGCCATGAAGCCCTCACCAGAAACTGATGCTTGTACCCTGCTCTTGGACCTCCAGATCTGTGACCAAACCTCTCTCCTCTTTCATTTGTAAAGAAACCAGCCTTGCATATTTTACTTTAGCAATACAAAGCAGACTAAGATAGGCAATTTATATGTATATTTTAAAAGATACATAATACCACACTAATTTCCAGGAAACCATTAAATAAACCCATGAAACACCAAGGAGATCTACCTAAAATGCAGACCTGATTGTTACTTTCAGGATGTATCTTAAACACACAGGACAACTACTATCTCCTTAGTGCCATCTCCCATCTCCCCTCCCACATTCTCTTCCCTCCAAATTATTTCCTCTTCCCTCCACTCTTTGGTGCCTTGGCATTTTCAAACATATTGCCTACTCATCTGGCATTCCCTGGCCGTCTGTCTGAGCTAAGTCCTACTAAGACTTAATGTCTTAGTCCATTTAAGCTGACATGACATTTAAGCTGTGCCCTGAAGGTTCACATGTTGGAAGCTTGGGTGGCCTTTAAACAACAGAAATGTATTTCTCACAGTTCTGGAGGCTGGAAGTCTGAGGTCAGGTGCCAGCATGGTTCTCATCAGAACCTTTTCCAAATGGCCGGCTGCTGACACCTCACAGGGTCCTCACATGGTAGAGGGGGGCTTGGGAGTTTTCCTAGTTCTCTTTTATGAAGGTAAAAATCTAATTTATGAAGGTAGTTCTCATGACCTAATTGCCTCTCAAAAGCCCCATTTCATAATACTATCCAACTTGGGGATTAGGTTTCAATGTATGCATTTTAGAGGATACCATTATGATTCAGTCCATATAGCACTCTGCCCCAGGTACCCCCAAATTCAAGCCCTTCTCACATGCAAAATACATTCATTCTAACCCAGCAGCCTCAAAGGTCTTAATTTGTTCCAGCATCCACTCAGTCTGATGAATTCAAGTTCTCAAATCTAAGAACTCACTGTCTGAGCTCACAAACAGAGTGGCCTGCATAGCCACAGGTTCTGCATCAGCAGCCCGAACAAACCAAGAGTGGAAAAATATCTTAAAAATAATAAAAACTGTGTCTGTACTGAACCCATTATTCCCTAAATAATACAGCATAACCATTATTTACATATCATTTGCATTGTTTTAGGCATTATAAGTTCTCTGGATGTGATTTAAAGTATACATGAGGATGTGAGTAGGTTACAGGAAAATACTATGCCATTTTTATATAAGCAACTTGAGTATCTGCAGATTTTGCTATCTGCAGGGGTCCTAGAACCACTCCCTTCTGATGCTGAGGGACAACAGTTATTTAAAGCAGCAAGAATGGCAGAATGTAGGGCCTGGAATTTCGAGGCCTTTGGAGGCAGATCAAACATGCTGCAGACTGTCTATCTCTCCTTCCTCACTCACCTGTGGCTCCCTGCTCTCTGAGAACTGGTAATCTCTTCACTTCTGGAAGGCGCTTTTGCTACTGGTGATTTGAACTCCACCTAGGAAACACAGAAGAGATGAATCACATCTTGTTTTCCACTGGGGACCACGGTGCAAGGGGCTTCCTGGAAATTTGGGGGAAACTGGTGAGAAACATCCCTCCTAACAGGGTTGCAATGTCCCAGAAGAAAAAGGCCTTGTCCCTTCCTCTTCCAGGCTTTGAAGAGAAAAAAAGAAGGCTCAGGTGTAGCACTGGTAAGTCTGCTTAGCAACCCCAAATCTGGAGACTGTGTCTAGGCTGATGAGGTCAGAGCCTTGTGCAGGAGAAGTAAGTAGACTAGGGACAAACTGATCACCCCTTCCCAGGAGCACCACCTCTCAGCAAGTTTTCTTTTTCTTGCATCCAATCCATAGATGCTGTTTGCACCACTGAAGTTTTGAAGACAGAGAGTAGAATTGTGGCCAGACTCACTTCCAAAAGAAAGAAATGCAGTGGGGTTATGAGAAAGTCTAAAGGACCCACAAAGAGAGCAAGCTAAAAGTGATTGCTATGATTTAGTTGTGGTTTGTCCCGCAAGGGTTCATGTTTTGGAAACTTGGTCCCCAGTGTGGAGATATTGAGAAGTGGTGGAACCTTAAGAGGTGGAGTCCATTGGGAAGTCACTGGGGATGCTGCCTTCAAAAATAATTTATTCTTGTGGTACCCTGAGTTGGTTCTCACAAGAGCAAGTTGTTATAAAATCTGGAGCCTGACCCTAAATCACTCTGGTTTCTGTCTTGCCATGTGATTTCTTATTTTCACATGTTCTCCCTCCATGATGCCATCTCTCTCAATGTGACCTAGCCAGGGGAACCTTTCCAGAGCCAATAGCATGCTGTTTGGACTTTCAGCCTCCAATTGGTGAGCTTAATAAACTTCTTTTCTTTATAAAGTACCCAGCACCACGTATTGTATTATAATAACAGAAATAGACTAATACAGCATCAGAGGAGGAACAGGCTTTGGCTCAGGGAGAAGACAAACCTTCTTGACTAGAGCAATTTGAAGGTTTTAAGACTGAACTAGGAAAGGAACTTTGCAGAATGCTTTGCCTCATAATCTAGAGGCATGTTTGAAAAGACTGGAGATAGCAATAGTGATTGCAAAGGACATTAGAATTATCTATCCCATTGTATGCTAAGTCCAAAGTTCAACCCACACTAGATCTGACAGACCAAATATATATATTACCATTGAATACAGCCTTGGTGGAGCTCATGTACACAATCCATCTGAGGAATATTCTTCAAGTACTTCTCATTCTATATGAGGTAACAGAGTGCTTGAGTGTTCTGTTTATTCAATGAATATTTACGAGGTGCAGACCCTCCTTTGGGTATCAAAGGATTAGTAATAGGCAAGTTTAGCAAATGTTGTCTTCATGGAGCTTACATCATAGGAGAGAGACAGGCAATAAACACCAGACACTATCAGATAGTGAAATGTACTTGCAGAAGATAACCCCTTCTTTAAGCCCCCTGGGGTACCCACTCCAGTCCCCCGACCCACTGGCATTGCTACTAGGATGCTGCAGCAGCCACAGAGGGGAGGCTCCACCCTCTAGTTGTTTCCCAGGCAGGAGCCCACAGCAAAGCCAGGGGAGTAGAAGGACAGGAAGAGATTGCTGCCCTGTCCTGCCCATAGCTGCCAACTCCTGGGATCTTATTTAGAAAAAAAAAAAACTATTTGGCCAAACATACGATGTTAATAGTATTATTTCTAGATGGTAATCCTAAGAAATTATTTTTATTTTCTTCTGAATCTTCTAACTTTTTTATTATTACAATTTATTGTGTTTGCCATAAGGAGAGAAAAACATTTTTCAATGATTGGTATACCCTAACTAAATTAAGAAGAAATACATTTGAACAAGTAGGCAGGGAGCAGATCTTGGGGTGATGAATAACATTTCACTATGCCGTTTTAAGGTTTATGAAGCAATTTCACAAACACATTTCCTTCAACTTGCAAGACTTTCTCAAGGTCACATAGAAAATAAACCTTAGCACAGGAAAGTGATCTGCAGGTCCCAGATTCCTAGGCCATTATGTTTTCCATTACTGCACAGCCCGTCTGTAGCTGACCTTACTTTTCTTCACAGATGAAGCCCCGAGAAAGCTGCTGAGCACCCTAGGTCCTAACTCTCCTCCTTCCAACCATGCCCTCTCCTCCAGAAGCCAAACTGATTCATACAGAACTAGTTTGTACTAAGCACCTGCCAGGCACTGTTCTGGGTACTTGGAGTAACTGCAATAAAAGAAAGTTATGAGGTATTATGCAAGTGACCAGCATCAAAGGAGGCTGACTGGATGGGGGCACAACCCCCTCACTTGGTCCAGCCATGTATTGTCACTGATTGAACCAAGACAGGTCAGACAGATACTCTAAAATGAAGACTAACTAACTACCAAAAGCCTGCCTGATTCTTAAAGGTAGTCTATTTTAGATGGAGAGATATACAAAGCCAAATGAAAAGTTAATTAAAGACATGGCATACACTTGCAATCATGAAACAGCCCCCTTATGCTCTCTCTGGAACTTAGTGGGGCTTACCAACCAGATCATTAGAGAGGTCCCGAGTCCACACATCATGGTCTCTGGGAGAGGTCACAGGAGGCTGGGAATGGAAAGAAAGGGCACAACCAGACAGAAAGTATGTTGCTAACAATATAAGGCAGAGACACAGCTTTCAATACTACAGGACATTGGGGTGGATGGGATGGGAGAAGGCAGCTGAAATGTCAGGATCCATTTCTGTGAGGGAGGTGAGACTCAGAGTGGGCCTCAGAGACTGAAATGGATTCAGATGGTCTTCATGGTAACCCCATTCAGCAAGACCAGGGAAGGCTTAGCACAGTCTTTGGGCCTCTCTTTCCTGAGGCTGGTGGCTGGATTTCTGGCCCCTCTCCCATCTTGGGTCTTGGTTGGTGGTGAGGGCTGGGGTCCCTCCATCCTGTCTACAGGTTTTTAGGTGTCTCTCTGCCAGGAGTGCTGCTAGAACCCCAAGATTGATGAGGACCCCTGACAGTACTGGGCAAATCAACTAATGCTGACGATGCCTGGCTGGTTAGTTTGCACACACGCTGGGTTTTTATTGCAGTATTTCTATAAGCAAACCTCAAAAACTTCCAGGTGCTGGAGCCCAGTGGGGACAGAAAATTCAAGGTATTGGAGTTTGCCGGAGCTATCTCTGCAAGCTGGGCTAATGTGAGCTCCCTGGCACATAATCTAATGAACAATAACAACAATAATTATCATACCATGAATGACAGCCAACTTTCATCTACAAAGTCTACAAAGATGTTTGTAATCTATGCCTATCATTTATGAGTTAATGTCTTAGTTCGTAACACACAAACATTATTATATGACTTTCAAAGACTGTACTATCTTATTGTAATAAAAACATGCCAGCTGTTATAGATCCTGGCTGATAGCTGTTGGAGGGCTGGGTCTGGAGATGCTACATGTCTCATATATAGCCTTCCATGTGACAGTCATCCTCAATGGCACTTTAGTCTCCAAAGCATTCCCACTTGGTACAGAGACTTTTGAAAGGCCAATGAGAGCCTTAGATGAAGACTCAGGAGCTTGGGCTCAGTTCCCATGTTGCCATGGATGGACCTAAGTCTGTGTTTTCTCTCTGTTAAGAACAAATGGGGGAACGTGAAAGGAATGGAGGAACTTTCGATAGGGCAATGGGGAGGGAGGGGAATGGAGGGGGCATGGGGGTAGGAAATACAGTGGAATGAGTTAGACATCATTACCCTAAGAACATGTATGAAGACATGAATGATGTGAAAATGTATACAACCAGTGACTTGAAAAATTGTTGCTCTATATGTGTAATATGAAATGAATTGCATTCTGCCATCACATATAACAGATTAGAATAAATAAATAATTTAATTAAATTTTAAAAAAGAACAAAATACTTTGGATTTAGATGGCTCTGGGTTCAAGCTTTCACTCACTACCTGTGTGAGCCTCACCAAGTAATCAAACTTCGAGCCCGTTTCCTCCTTAAACATGGATAATAACAGCATGTCTTTGTAAAAGTCACTGTGAAGATAACAAGATTCACAGCTCAAGATGGGCTTAGTGCATAGTGGGGTCCATACTAAGTGCTAACTATGTGCTAATAATGTTATTGTTTCTGTTAGAGGACAAGGCACAGTGCACCTACAGCCTAGGTCAGAATCTGTGGCATAGAATCGTCCCTCTTTGGGCATGAAATCAGCAAGCTTTAGCAGGGTGGGGCTGAGGCCCCAGGAGAGGGCACCTGTGTGGGGAAGGCAGGCCTCTCCCTTGAGCAGCAGGGTTTGTAGCGAAGCGCTTCCTGCATCTGGTACAGATGGCATTGGCCTGATCCTCATCCCTAGAATTTCATTGTCCAATGCAGTAGTCACAAGCCACATGAGGCTATTGAGCATTTGACATGGGGCCAGTCCAAATTGTTATGCAAGAGTAAAATACATCCCAGGTCTCAAAGTCTGAGTTCTAAAGAAAGGAATGTAAAAATCTCAATCATTTTTAATGATAAAAAATTATCATGCCAAAATGATGATATGTTGGGTATACTGGGTTAAATTACATGTTGTTAAGATTAATTTCAACTCACTTTTTTACTTTCTTCATCTGGCTATTAGGACACTGAAAGCTGGACATGTGGCTCAGGTCGCATTTCCATTGCACAGTGCTGGTTGGGACTGTGAGCTCCATGAAGACAGAGACTTTGTTCAGATCCCTGCTGTCACCCCAGCACCTGGAATGATTTCTGAATGAAGGGGTGATCCAGTGAGTGTGTGAGGCCCAGGGACAAGCTTATAAGAAGCCAGGGGTCACACTTGAGCAGATGGGGACAACTCCTGGGCCGTTTGATTATGTAAAGATGAGGAAACAGGCTATAAAGATAATAAGAACTTGTCCCCGGTCAGAATTTAAATTGAACACATCTTAACCTATGCTCTTGCTACTGAATCCCGTTACCTCCCATAGTCACTGTAGAGTTACAGAAAGAAAACTATATTTAGAATTAAAAAAAAAAAAATCACATTCCCTCAGATTACCCTTTTTGATCTAATCTTGTGTATATCACCCGGCTTTCTTGGGTCTTGGCTTCTTAGGTCCTCATTGGTATCCCATGTAAAAACCACAGTTTCTGTCCATCTCTTTTTAATGATGTAGAGCCGTAGGAAACCCCGTCCTAGAAGGTATCTCAAAGGCTGAGCCCTACATCCTTCCTAATTCTCCTTTCCTCTCTCTCTTGCTCCAAAAACTGCTCTCTGACAGAGGTTTCTTTGCATCACACATATAAGTGATTGTTTATCTTAAGAGTTCTCTTTGATTTAACTTGATTTCTGATGTTTTTCATCAGAAGTCAAAACCTTGCAGACTCTTCCCTTGATCCCATAATGAAATTTCCTAAGAGATATTTAGTTCTAGAAACAGCCTGATACCACCCTCCCTTTCAAGAAAAAAAAAAAAATCTAAAATAACAAGCATCCTGCCATATTCAAATAAACATCTCAGGTGGAAAGTGGATCTGTTTCCCTTATATCTGCTTTTAAAGCTCTGTTGCCATCCATACAGATGAATGTCCTACACTGAGGTCCTTAGCATACCACCAGCCTCTCATGTTTCTACACATGTCTTGAAGGGATTCTGATGCTGTGTTAGCATTTTCTTCTATTTATTCCCCCAAATTGTTCTTTCTTGAGTTCTCTGATTTGCTTTCACCTGTGGCTGTTGAGTAAATTCCCCACTGACTTGGTCCCTGACTCCCCACATTGAGATTTTTGGAAAAGAATTCCCAATCCTAACTCAAGAGCCTCTTGAATTTTATGTCTAAGCAAAGAATATGTTGGAGCCCAAACTGACTCCTCGGGGAAGAACATCTCACCCACTGGCCCTAGGTAAAATGTTCGCTCTACTTCTGATCAGGGGATAAGGAAAGATTTGCCAGAATCAACTGTGTCATTGAGGCAGAGCCATTTTTCAACATGCCTGATGCAGGATTCAGATCCCACTTAAGCACTTGCCTGTGACTCGGCGACTTATTGAGTCATTACAAATTTTTGATCCCTTTCTCCAGACTCCTAGCAGAGAGTTGACTGCCCAGCACTTGCTGGTGCTTAAAGAATGTGTGTGAGTCTCCAAAAGCAGCCAGTATGGGGTCAGCAAATCTGCTTCCTCCAAATAATAATCTGCTGAATTCCAAAGCCAAACCAATTCACCCAGTGTCTTGACTCAGAGACAGAAGGACCTCTAGTACAAGATGTTGTGTTTAATAACAGATAAAAAAAGCAAGGGCCACGTTATCCTTGCTCTCAAGTAGCTTACAGTCTGAGATTATTATCTAATGGAGATTAATGACAATTGAGATTATCTAATTGAGATTATTATCTAATTGATAATTAGGTAGAATGAGAAAGGACAATAAGAAGTGGTGTGTGTGTGTGTGTATGTGTGGTGAGTGTGTGTGTGTGCATGCACATGTGCACACGTGCAATTGTAAAAAGACTAGGAGAAAATATGGGAGAGGGTTAGCAGTGGTTATCTTTGTTTTTCAGCTTACGGGTGATATTTATTTTCTTCTTTACTGTTAGCTATATTCTCTGGGTTTATTTCACAATAAACATTTATTGCTTTTACAATAAAATTTTGTTTCGAAAAATTGGAACAAATGGTAAAGAACAATGGTTTGGGTGATGGATTAAGACTATGGAGTTAAGAATAGAAATGGAACCACAATATGACCCAGCTATACCTTGGTATTTATCCTAAAGAATTAAAGTCAGCATACTACAGTGATACATGAATACCCATGTTTATAGCAGTACAATTCACAATAGCCCAACTACGGAACCCAGTCTAGGTGTCCATCAAAGGATGAGTGAATAAAGAAAATGTGATATATATTTTTTAGAGTTTTATTCAGTCATAAGGAAGAATGAAATTGTGTCATTTGCAGGAAAATGGATGGAACTTCAGACCATTATGTTAAATAAGATAGCAAAAATCAGAAAGTCAACAGTCATATGCTTTCTCAAACATGTGGGAACTAGAGAGGAAACAGGAACAGAGAGGTGGCTGGGGGATGTCTCATGAAAACTGAAGGGAGATCAATAAAGTAGAGAAAAGGCATCAGGGAAAAAGGAGGGGAGGGAGGGGAAAAATACTGGGGAACGATATTGACCAAATTATATTGTTCTATTGTGTGCATGTATGATTATGTAACAAGGAATCCCACCATTGTGTACAACTATAATGCACCAATAAAAACATGGGAAGTGGGAGTGAAGGGGAGACTGTGGAATTAGGGGTAAGCACATGGGCCTCCAGAGTAGTTAGTAAGAATTGGGCAGTGAAAAGATGAGGAAGAGGATTCCAAGCAAAAGGAACAGTGAGCGATGGCCTCAGGCTACAGGGAGCGGAGGAGGTCAAAATCAAGTCCTGCAGCGTGTATTTGGGGGAATGTGAGCACTAGCCTAAGGACAGAGTGAGGGGTAGGCCTGGGAGGGCAGGACAGCCTCAAATGGCATGCAAGGGACTTAGCTCTTCACTCTCGGTGTTCCCATGGCTCCTTGTGTTTGTTCCTAGCGGGCCACTTATCACACTGCATTATATTTGGTTGTAAATATGTCTGTTCTACTAAATTCTTAACTCCCCAAAGTCAGGGATCATGGTTCATCCATTATGGAACCACAGTGCCCAGCACAGGAACTAGCATAAAACAGTCAACAAAATCTTGGATGAATTGAATTCTAACAAGGTTACTTCTTTATTCGTATGTAATAAGGAGACATCATGAATTTCACTACCTAATGTACTTCAAGGACATTAATCTGGGAATATGTGCCAGGCACTGTGCTAGGTGCCATAACTGTTTTAATGGCTCTGACCTAAAACCCTGTGAGATATTCTCCACATTCATTTACACATGATGCTCAGAAAGGTCAAGTAAACTACCTATCAGCAGACAGTAATTACAGAGGCCAGGGCAGGCTGAAGGCAGTGTGAAGGCTGGGGTCAAACAGAGAAAAGTAAGAAGATCCGGCCAGTGAGAGGCTGTGGGAACCTAGACCACTCAGAGAACAGAGTGAGGGAAAGCTGGGCAGGCAGTGCTGCAACTGAGAGCCCATAAGTTCCTTAGCTGTGCCTCAAGCACATCTAGTATCTCTGCTGGCCACCTAGGGACAAACGGCATCAAAATGGACTCGCCCTTTATACTTAGAATAGCTCCAACCTACAAGATGCAGGACTTGTAGAAAGAAGCTCCCATCAGGCTGTGAACAGTTACCCTCCCTTCTCCTATCCACCGAAAGTCAATGTTGATAAAGCTGGCCCTGATCACAAATGTAAACCAATTCCCCGGCCCAATCAAAACAGAACAGGGTGTCAGAAGTGGTTTCTAGACCCATCTTGAGAACTGACTAGGCAATCCCTGTCAACTTCCTCACCTTCCCATATCTGTAAATGTACTGGGCTGGACAAGGTGACTTTTAAGACCCTCCAGTCTAGGTCTGTGACTGTACATTCTCATGGGCTTCATGTTCCTCCTTAACATTTCTATGGCCATCATAATTAATTCCATGCGTTAGTAGTTAATATCTGTTTTCTCTACTAGACTATGGGCCCTCTGGGCCAGGGCCTATCTGTCTTGTTCCCAGTAAGATTCCCAGCATCTTTCAAGAGTGTGAGCGTGAAGTAGCATTCCATGTCTGTCAACAGCAGATGGCTGGTTTCTGGCCTGGTTTTACCTAGAGGCCACTTTTTCTCTCCATGGTTCAGGAGATCCATTAATGTCACATTTACCTACCCCTCCACCTCTCTAGAAAAACCTCTTGGGTTTTCTATGAAACAGGGGGAGGTCAGCAGTGGAAGTTCTGAAACCATTCATATGTTTGTGTACTCCACACACTATTTGTACAGTATTCAGAATACTCCCTTGCTCAGTTGAAACATTTTCACTGGCCCTCTGCCCTTGGGGCAGGGAAATTAAGGCCTCCATAGGGGACAACTAAATTCCCCAGTGAGGCCTAGCACCAGCAACAGTCCTCTTTCCTACTCCCTAACCCCAGTCCCACATCTCAGTTCAAGATGCCAGGCCTTCCTAATATATTGGGGAAGGATGAGTGATGGGGCTTCGTGAGGCAGGAGGATGACCAGAATGAATTCTACCAGGGCCTTCTGTCCAGAAGCTCCCAAATCTTCTCTTTGGGACCAATGACTCCATCTGGCCTGTGCCCAGCATTCTGAAGCACCTCCCTCAACCAGTAGCCACCACCTAACACTGTCATATGGTGTATCCATGGAAAGAGGAGACCTACTTTCTTAAAGATGTTTATTCCCAGAAAATGAAAAAAAAAAAAAAAGAAGAAGAAGAAGAAGAAGTTCCTATGCTTTTTGTTCACTTCTAGGACAATGGGCAATATCAAATCCCCCCAAAAGCTGACCACCAAAACCTAAGAATAACTTCATCAGCGGCTGCCCTGTTTCCTCTTCCCTGTCCATTTAACCAAGCCCCCTCTCTGTGCCCACAGTTCAGTGCTGGGCAGCCCCTGGATGTTTCCTGCCTGGCAACATTTAATGGC